TTTGCTCCAGATGTCCTTTTGAGCTTGGCCCAATTGTTTCTCTGCTGTGGGGAACATACTGGAAATGTCCATCTCAGGACCTCTAAGGATGAGGCTGAAGAATGACTGTGTTCACTCTCTGTTGCAGGGTCTGTGCCTGAAACCAGCCAGACTGAAGCAGGAAGCAAAGCCCCAGAACAGCAGTGTGTTTCCCAGCTGTCCTCTGCAGCAGGGAAAAGCAGAAAGAGGCTGAAATCTCAGGAGATGCACTTGCAGGAACATTTGCCATTCCTTTGTCCAGGAGGGATGCGTAGAAGATACTGGTGAGAGTTTGATGTCTTACAAGCTCCTTCACCTGTTCTGGCATTGGCACTTGAGGTCTCCCTATCCACCTTCTGGTTTTTTGTAATACTTTGTGAGTTCAGAATGTGTGCCCCTCCTGTCTTTCTTATGGGCTGTGTCCCAAGGACAGGTTGGGTTTTTTTGTTTCCTCAGTCCAGTATCTATATCTGCTGCTTTCTCCTGCCACTGTCACAGGGCTTCTGTGCCTTCTTGAAGTAATGTCAGGTGTGCAGAGAAAAAGACAAGGATGGAGGAAAGTTCCCTGTCCCACTTCCCGTGTCCAGATTGGAGATCTATGGTGCTGGTTACTCTTGGCCTGTTGCTGCAGCCACACAATAAGTGTTTTCTGCATCTCTGGAAATGAAAGAGGATTCTTGTCTCTGCAGATCTGCTGTTAACCACTGTGTACCCTGTGGCTTTCTTTTAGAGAAGTGTTGGTGTGCAGCATGCAGACATGCCACAGTGAAACCCCACACAACTTGGATTTGAGAGAGGTGTTGTAGAAATAGGGAGTCTGGAGTCTACTTTTGAGCAATCAAAGTGCTCAGTCGAAGTATTTTCCTTTAATTCAGTTCATTTATTGAGGTAGTAGGTTAAAAGGTGAAACACAAATCCTGGGAAGATGATGCTTTTCCAGGTTTTGGGACACTTGTTAAATGAACCTGGAGAATACAAGTAAAATAGAACAAATTATTAAACATGAAGGTAGCCCGTGTTCAAACCAGTGTTTTGTTTCTGAACTGCTTTATTGAAAATTCCTCAGAGCATAACCTGTTTCATACTGGGAAATCCTGGGCCAGTAACTTTAGGCTACCTTACATGGATATCAGCAGCAGATCTTACTATGTGAAATACCCTGCCATGTTCACCTCTGTTATGAGATATCTCAAGACTTAGCTATTTTTTTTTTCCAGCAAAGATGAGGTTAAGACAGAAGATGTCTCTGAGGAGGGTCCAGAAGACACAATAGAAGATGTTGATGTTGTTGGTACAGACCAGGTAATTCTGGCTGGTTTTCCAGCTCTGAGCACAGCTGTAGTTGAGGTGGGTCAATGTTAGGTCAGAGTCTCCTGGGTAGCCATGCAGCAGCAAAGGGGGTTGCTCTTTTGTGGCCTTTTTCAGGATGAGAAAAGGAGGATGCCCTCTTCCCTTTCCAGCTGCAACTGTAGTTTCCTCCTTCAGCTCAATCTGCATTTTAGAGGCAATCCTTATTGTAGTATCAAGACATCCTTAGGTCGTTTGTAAGGATTGAATGTCACCTTAAGAGGAGGATCCCCTTTCTTTTTCCCCATACTGCGAAGCTTCCTTGTTAAGAGCCATTTGCTGCAGTTGCTTCGTGTTACTGACACATTGCAGAGATGGCACTGCTGTGTGGCCTGCAGGGAATATCTGCTTCAGAAATGGTGTTTGCATTGTGCTCTTTGGATTGAAAGACTCAGAATGTGTCACTGGACAGCCCTGGGCTCTTGCTGGAGTATCCCATGTTTCTTGCCCTTTTCCAGTCAAGGCTGTTGGGCAGATTAAATTGTCCCCGAACAAACTGGGGATTTGAAGGGAAGCATGAGAACATTGTGGGCTTGGAGTGGCAACCAGCATAGCCAGGGGCTTGTCTGACGGGCACTGATTGCCTTTGGGATCCAAGTTTGGCAGAGCTGCAGCTGTCTGCCTGGCCTCAGCTCAGCCGTGGACTGGCTCATTGCAGCAGGGAAGGACTTGTAGCCCTTTGGGCCAGTGGAGTGCAAGGACTCAGGATGTTGGACAGCAGGGTCTTGTGGAGTGGCTGTACAAGGAAAGGGGTGGAGGGGAAAGAAAGGCCGTGGTTTATCCTGTAGCTAATCACAACCCTTCTGCCTCCTAAATGTTTCTGTGTCAGCTACCACAGGGGGCTGAGCAGTTCCTTCAGGTTTTTCCCTGTTATCTGCACTTCAGAACATAACTCAGTGTTTGGCAGAGAGTATTTTTGCAGTGAGTCAGGCAACTCCTTGATTTCCAGTGACTAGTTATCTGGGATCTAACCACCACATTCAGACTTTGCATGATTTTTGTCTTTTTAAATGAGTTTTTGCTGTAAAGTTCAGCCAATGTTTTTTTAACATATGGTGGGCTTTAATTTTTAAAGAGGACTAGAAGGAAAAAAAAAAGGGACTTCTACCTTTTCTTTCAGTTATATGCATGTTAAAATGTAGACAGTTTGGCCCATGTACTTGAAGCAGCTCCTACTGAAGATAGATAATAGAAGAATTTAACTCCATGGACAAAGATCAAAGCCATACAGAAATTGCACTATTTAGGCAGTATGGTGCCTTTCCTGTTGTGCCTTTTCTGGGCTTTTTAGGGTATGGAAATGCTTCTTTCTTTTTGTGGAAGCTGTAGCTCTTTAAGAGCTGGCTCTATGGCTAAGCCGCTGAATGGTTCGATGCTACACTGTTACTCTGATTCCTTATAGGCTCTTATATGACTTCTTCTTCAGAGGAGAGCACTGACTTAATCTCTTTTTTCTTGTGATGTAGGACAGTTAAGACACTGAGAGGATGAACAGAAGTGAAGCACATGCTGTGTTTTTTCTGCAAGTTATTTAACTCGTCAATGTGATATGAGAGCATCAACTGCGGTGGCAGGAGACGTGGGTCAGGTTGTCTCTGTGCCCATGGGCCTCCACCCAGAACCAGTTTGTAGCACTGTGGTTGATTTCTCACCATTGCTGGCTGTGGGCATTACTGAGGTGGCTGCTGCAGTTCTAGGCTTGGGCCTTCTGAGCATCATTACTCAGCTACATCCTCATCCTTGATGCTGCCTTGGAAAAGCTCACAGCTGCAGGATTGGAATCAGGGTATTTGACAAACACTGAATCAAAGACACTGTGAACCAGGTGCGACAAGCTTGTCTGAAGCACATAGGGGCAGTGCTCTGCTGGCCTGTTTTTCACTGTTTAAGATAACCAAATGGAAATCTGTGTGTTTCCTTGCATCCAGTGCAGGGGAGAAAAGAGCCTGCTGGCTGGGACCTGCTGGCTGAGGGCAAGTGCATTTCCTGCCTGTAAAATGGAAAACCTGGATCAATCATGTGAAAGTATTTCTGAATTCCATTGCTTAGAACAATGTGTTTAGAGGTCTGTAAGCATCAGGACATGTTCCTGGAAAACCTGTGTCAAGGCTTCAGAGTATCAAAGAAACAAACAATGGACCAGCTGACTATTTTCCTCTGGAAATCCTTTGTACAGTGATCATGTGGTGTTTACTTGGAAAAATGCTGGAAAGACAATGTAAATAGACTGTAAATAAGGCCATTCAAAAATAGAGGGTTGTTGCATTAAGAATTTGCAAATGATGGTCACTCAAGTGTTTCAGTGGCAGTCGGCTGGGGATTGGGGTGCTGCTTTCACTGACCCTTCTACTGCTCCCTGGAATTGTACATTGCAGTAATCATATCAGCTTTATTTTTTATATATATATATTTTGGATTGTAACTATGTAAAATAAACTACAGAACTATTGCTATCCACTAGTACTGAATGTGTAAGTGATACTTCCACACTGTGATGGAGAAAGAATGGCAGCAAATGTGTGCTGGCCTTTGCAGTTGTTGCGTTATTCCACAGGCTGAGCAGGGAGTTCCCATGAAGATGGAAGTGAAAGCCATGAGTGTTGCCCAGGTATTGGGTACACTGAAGTGGCCACAGTGACTCCATGATTTTCCTTGTGCATGGTGTGCAGCCTGACACAAGGGAGGTGGTTCTCAGGTTCCTCCATCAGTAACTCCCCCTACCTGGACTGGGGTACTGATGCTTCCCCTCATCCATCTGTGGATGATGTGTGGATCTAGGCCTAAGGACCCACCAGGTAGGCAGAATACAGCCTGACTAGGAAAACAGTTATACCTGGAACCACTTCAAACATATGGATACTTTAATTTCTGTAACAGTGGGATTGGGATGGTAATTACCCTGCAGAGGCAAGGTCCAGTAATCCTCAAACTCATATTTTAGGAAAAAGGATTTCTTCTTAGGAAAGGACTTGGTTAGCACAAGTATAATAGAGAGCAGGATTTAACAGGCACTTCATTAAACACAAAGTGGCAACAACAGCTACAGGCTCTGGAGAAGAGATCGACCCTGCAGCATAGTGCTGTGTGACCGATGTGTCACTGCATCCTGGGAAAGCCTGTGGCTGTTTGCTGTCCAGTTACAAGCCCCCTTCTTGAGAAAAGTTTTAAGGTAGGTATCTTGCAGTGTAACAGATGTTCAGGATCACCTTCTGCAATGCCAGCTGGTCATCCTTTCCCTGAGGGACCAGAGCATCACAGAAATGCTGTGTATCTTTACTGCTTAAAGGCCCCAAACCATGGGCAGTTAGTGAAAGGGATCCAGCCAGCCCTGGACAACTTTGACATTGGTGAGTCTGTATTAAAACTGGAATAATTAACCAAAATCCTTCAAATGGTATTACAATTACTTGAGTTTCCCTCAGTGAGGTTCACCAGCACTTCAGCAGTGAGTTTCCTGATACACAGGTGTGTAGGTTTGTGCAGGAGCTGGTGTGAGGAGTTGAGTACAACAGGTTTCTCCCAGCTGCTCAGCAAATACTCTTCTGGATGAAGAAAAACCTGCTAGAGGCTGACTGCTTTGCATATGCAGCTTGTTGTAATTACCCAATCAGACTGCATACCTGTGTAACCCATCCTGTGGTGAATGGCTCTTTATTAGCAAGACATGAATTGTGTGAGGTATGTAAAAATTACATCTGTTATATTACATGTATGAAAATCTTTATTTGAAAATACAAACATGTTTTCTAAACATTTTAAAAGATCTACACTGCAACCAAAAAAATAACTTACATCTTTTTGTACATTTTTTCCCAACAAAACCTGTTTAACAGTTAAGAGTGAGGCAACAATTTCAGGCTGCTGTGACACTGATGAATATCCATGGAATGTGTCAATAGCAAACAAGCAAAGGGGAGGACAGACAAAAGCACTGAATGCCCACAACAAATTAGTGCACATCACTGATCAAGTAACACTTATACAAAGGATTTTAAAAAAAAAATTGGTTCCTTCTGCATGAATTAACACCCCCATTTTGGATCAAGTATGAACACTCAGACTTCACTGTTAAATAATCTTTTTATGATTAACATCAACAAAGAAACTCAAGCTTAAAAGGGCAAAATTAAGGTTGGGGCAAACATGGACTACACAGAAAAGAAAAACAACTTGTCTTGGGTGTTCACTTTAGTGTATTCTACTAATATGCACAGCCTGTCAGACAAAACTCTGCTTGTAAATGAGTGCTGAACTGTGCACTCATTGTCACATCTCTTTCTTGCCAAGGCATAAAACCTAAAAGAGGGCTGTCTATGAGCACAAGCACACTGCAGGTGTAAATTGTCTCCTTACCTCCCATACCAGGACAGAAATACCTGTTCACAGGTGAGATGGAGATGGTCAGTGCACTACACATCAGCTTAAAGAGAATTATACAGCTCTCATAAAAACAGTAGATTACTTTTCTCTTAAGTCAAATATTGTTATTCTTCCAAAAAGGAATTATGCAACATCTGAAAATAAATATTTTAATCTATTTTACAAACAATAAACTATTGAATAAATACAAAAATCTCATCATTCCATATAAATGCATTTCTTTTGCTTACAAGGTAGTGTAGTGATTAGATATTTTTAGCACAAAACTAAAGAAAGTGTTTCTTTTCCCACTGATACATTTCAGTAGGGAAAGAAACCCCACTGAAACGTGTCAGTGTGTAGCAGACCTGCTGCAGACTGTCCCTTCTCTTCTGCAAGGGCTGACCATAAGTAACCTCTATTCAAAATCCTCATCATAGCCATATTCATCCAAGTCTACATCAGCCAGATGGGAAGGCATTTCAAAAAATGGTCTTTTCTCCATTTGATACTTTAGAACACTGGCCTTCTGATGGTCTACAGGACTCAGTTCTGCTTCATACCTAGAAGCAGACAAAAAAAAAAAAAAAAAGAAGAAGAAAAAGAAAATGAAAGAGTCCAACTATGCCAAGAAGTGCCTGAATGTTGGAACACTAACAAGGCAGCTGCAGGAAAAACATATTTGCCAATATTTAATAATAAGCATAACCACAACAGCATCAGGGTTCTGTAATAATTCCCTGAATTTAAGTTAGCTTTCTCTCCTGTCACATGCTGAACTTTCCAGTATGAAATGCAGCTCTACTGAAAGGATTCAAAGCACACACTGACACAGTGCTCCACTGACCAGGTCTTGGGTTAGAGTGACTCACATTCATGCATGTCTTCCCAAATACTACTGAATTTCATCATGTTGTTTCCATCTACTTAACAGGACTGTGCAGAGAATGAGCTTTAGATACTGCGTTTTTGTTCTTTAAAACTGATTTATAAAGGCATTATGTGCTCATCAGCTGTTTTTTCAGAGAAAGACATAGGGCAAAGTAGAGTTAAATACTAAGACTCCACTGTGCACACTAAAATAGAGTAGCACCTTGAGTTTATCCCATGAGTTTACCACCAATTTAAACAGAAAACAAAAGTCATCTGAAGGTTCAATTCACCAAGTTATGAATTTAAAAACAAGGGCTTATAAAAAGATGCATATTTTAGAATATGAGTTTTGGGAAGGACATGTTTATTCTTTTATTAAATGAATTATAGTGGTGGTGAGGCTGTACTTTAGTAGAGAGGATTCATATTAACTGTCCTGCTGCATTCTTACCCGTCGTTCCACTGCTCACTTGCTGCCTCTTCTGCTACCAAGATATCATACTCTTCAGCAGCATATTTCTCCCAGTCAGAGACCTCTTGACTTTCACCTTCACCATCCTAAACAATCATGTTGCATGTTAGACAAAACAGTATTAATTGCTAAGCATGTAGCTATAAAGACTTTCAAAGTCTCATACTCACCCGCAACATAGAGAACTGATCCTTCTGTTCATGGTCAAGGTATTTTTCAATGTTGAAAAAAGTATCAAAGAACACATTTGTCAGCTTACATTGCTTTAAATCATGCAGAGTAATTTTTCCTGTAAAGATTATGAGATAAGATTATTAGAGAGAAAATTATTAGATCTCAAAAGTGGAGGAATCAAAAGGTACATTATCATTACTCAGTCATCACTGCTTAGCAACATTTCTCACTGATCCTCAATGCAATGGGAGAGATGCAAACAGATGAAATACATACCTAGAGATGTGTCCTTCAAAGTGTACAAAACTTGAAATCATTCAGATTTTTTTCCTTGCTGTGGCTGTCATATCCCACAGCCTGTCAGAATGTTGAAGTGAGATGCAGTCTACATCCCTCAGCTATTAAAAATCATTTAAGGTATTAGTTTAAGCTTCCTCAAAGATAGAAGTCTCTAGTGAGTTAGCCATTCCTTCCCAAGGAGTGCTTGGGTAGCAAGTAGGAATCTCCTATGGCAGCAGCCCTCTCTCTTCCCTGACTTGAGCAGACAAATGTATGACAGACATGACAGTGTGTGACTATGCTTCATACAGATGAATTTTTCATAGAGTCAAGGTTGCCACACTTGTCCAGTCTGATCAATATTTACTACTTGAGAGGAAAGCTAAATGCTCAGAGGTGTTTTGTTTGATTTTTATAGTGTGATACTTTAAAGACTCAAATCAATGGATGCGTTAAACATTAGAAGCATTTGTCAGGTTGCTCAGAAATGTTACCCTGTTTCAAAGCTGAATATTGAAGCTTCTGCAGAAAGGCTAAAAAATATGAGATACACAAGGGAAGACAGATGACTATCCTTACAACTCCCCTTTATTGATTCACCTGGAATACAGATAATCTTCCATTGTTAATCAAATAGGAGCTAACTGAAGATGTTATGGAAGAGTTCAATAAAACCCAGACTTTGAATAGTATTCTTCAGCATACTGTCCCAGCCTCTAACAAAGTGTAACTCAAGGACATCACAGGGAAGCAAAATCCAAATCCCATTTGTACATGGTCGCCACGCTTGCATCTGTCATGAAGGGCCCCAGTGTGTTCTGCTGGCTCGTCACTGGAGGAGGACACAAATCCCCCGTGGCACCTGTGCCCTATCTGTCAGACCCACACAGATGGCTGGTGCACAGAGCCATTTCAAGTGGCAGCAGCTCTCCACAAGCAAGCAAATGATTTGAATCCTAGTTACATAAGCTCCCAGTTTAAGTTAGACTCCTATATTTGGTTCATTGATTTGCGCTCCAGTTTCCATTTATTGCAATGGGAGCTTAGACACGTAACACTTGTGTAGATGCCTACCACTGTCTCTCAAACACCAACAAAACAGGAGTAAAATTTAAGTAATTAATTCAGGTCTCCAGAAATTCAGGCTTGCTTTTTCCACACAGAGCATTCTATATAGAAACTGTATCACAGTTTAGCCATAACTTTATGGAAGTGTCTTCTTTTGTTTCGAAGCTACAAAGTGAAATATCAGTTATGCTGCTAGTTTTTGTATTAGAAAACCAGATTTTTTTCTTAATCCACCTTTTAAACATAATTCAGTTTATACTAAAAAAAAAAACAAAACCCCAACCCTTCTCAACTGGCTTTCATTTTTGTTACCCTGAATAACTTATCTTGGTTGTGTTTGATAGCCTTCTTTTATCATCCTCATGACATTGATGTATCTCATCTATCTTGTTTCATTTTAAATTCAGAACAGAAATATTATTATAAATGCCTTTCAGAAGCATAAGACTGGAAGGGAACTTCTGAGTTCAGGAGGTGATTGTGAGCAACCATAAAACATAAATGTGCTTCTCAGAGCTTGGCTCACTGCATTTTAAATGCCCCCTAGCCCCCATGCATTATAGAATGTTGGTCTAAGACTTCATTCCATTGATATCAGGGATGGAGCTTTCAGATGAATCACACTTAATATTCCTTCTTAATTTACAATTTTTATCTGCCTTTAGTGATGTGCTTTCACTAAGCAAATCCATTTTAACTTATTTAAATAAAAATATCAAGCTTTATGTTCTAATTTTGAGCCATTTCAATTCTCTCAGCATGCAAAAAATCCCATCTCAATAAATGACAAGCGTCTTTAAAAAATTTCTTGTAATTTAAATATTCTTAATACTAGAAAGAAAGTGGGCAATAAACCTGACTTACTAATTGGTTGTCTAACCATAATTGTATTCTTAAGTTTTTCTCAAGTGTAAAAGGTAAACTGAAGTTTTATCAGCTAAAGATGATACCATGTCAAATGCAGGAGAGTAGAATGCAGGTCAAGGAAAGTTCAAATGTGAAAAATAGACAAAAACTCAGAAAAGTTCATTATTCTGTTAATTTTAATCCCCTTGTCATGAATTTCCTAAGGGCAGCTTAGGCTTCTAATGTAACCAAAGTCAATACTGGCCTAAGAGACAAACACTGTTTAGAAACTGTTCCCTCCAGAGAAACTCAAGTGAGCACTGGAAGAGGTGAGAAATGAGTGAACCATCAAGAGGTTTTCCTGAGAGCCTCACCTCAGCTAGATAGTGACAAGGTTTTACTTAAGTCTAAATGTGGCTACAATCACAAAATGAAAGCTGACAAGGAATTTTAAAGCAGCATATTAAATTTTAGTATGGAAAAAATGCCTGCCCTTGGATGACCAATCAATTATTAAGCTTTAACAGATGTCAGTGAGAAGACAACCTCAAGGCATTTTATTTGTATGACCAACTGAGTGCTCTTAAGACTGCACTAATTCCTAAGTCCAGAGAAACAGAAGTTAAAGATGGAAAAGGAGTTTATTACCTTCATGTTGTGGCTTTACAAGATCCAGCATCTGGCACAGACAGTCTTCAAAAGGCAAAGGTTCTATGGCCATGTTCTCTAATTTTTGGCACTGTTCTTCATAAAAATATTCCAATTCATACATAGACAAAGCACCATCCCCATCAAGATCCATGCAGCGGAACCAGTATTCAATGCTGGAATTCAGTCATTAACAGCAAAGAGACAAACTTACTACAGAATTTCAAGAATTCATGTTGCCTGTTTCAAAGGCAAAACTAGACTTAAGAGTACATTCCACTAATCCATGGAAAGTATTAAACACCAGCTACTGTGGTAATAGTTGCTGGTATTTGCTACACCATCCATTATTGCATTTGAAAACTCATGTGTTAATGGTGTGAAGGAGAAGACTAAAACACATAGTTTTACATTAAAAAAGAAAATCAAGGGAGACAATGGAAAATTGAATTGTACATGACAACTTCAGTATTTTGGGTATGTTCCCATACTGAACAAGCTAGTGACATGTCACATGATAGGTTTCTCATCAGTACCATACAGAAGCTGCACAGCTTCCCAGAGTCACTGGCATCATGAAACAGCTGCAACATCCTTAACGTATGGCCCTGTTCATAAACAGGCCACACACAACTTATGAAACAATAATATTGAATTAACCTCTTAAAAGTCATTCAATTAGACTTCTGCAGCTACAACAGGAGACACTGACAAACAAGGACAATGTAAAGAACTGGGCCAGTTTTCCACTCATGTTTTTATAGTTTAAACTTCTTCCATTAGAGTTGCAGCTGTTCATCAGTGGTCCCCATTTAAGGACTGGAAAAAACAAAATCAGTCTTTATTTCTGCTGGAACAAATTCATTCTTACCTAGTTGGTGTTTTCTTGTCCTCTTCAGATATCAAAAACCAGACAAAATCAGCATAGCTAATCTTCCCATCTTTTTGTGCTTTTCTACCTCTTGGAGGTCAATGAGGAAAAAGACAGAAAATTTATTTTAGAGAACACCTAGCTTTTACTAAGCAAAATTAAGGATTATTTTCCTTGATGGTATTAACTAGTTACTCCTAAATGATCCAGTGTTCATAAGGTGCTAAATAGTTAACAGAAGAGCCATCTCAAAAAAAATTTTATGCTATATTATATACCAGTACATAGGCTTTTTAGAATTTCTATTCAGATAGAAGTGATGAGAACTTAAAAGCTTTACAGAACTCCATTAGCTAAAAGTTTTGGAATGAAAATATGAAGATAAAAATGAAATAGAAATCTTCAGGAAGTAAGTGTCCATGGCAAGAACATAATTGTCTGTTTCTACTCTCACAACCGCAGTAACCAAGTAAGTTGCACATAGTCAACCTGTCTAGTAAAAAGTCAGGTAGGCAGTTCTTAGACATATTACATTTCAATAAGGAAATTCATTTTTTGATGTTTTATCTTCAAGAAGTCTGGGAAAATATGGTATATGTTTTTGTCTTGCCCAAGACACTCAGATAAAGGAGTAAGCTCTAGACATATTCCTGGTAAGTCTCTTATTTCAGCTTTTATTTCTGTTGATCAGTTGCTTTCTATCTCAGATATTGTGCTAGGAAACATTTCAAAAATTAATAAAATGCCATAAATACAAAAGAGGAAGTAAATCCCAAGGGGAGAAATGAAGAATGACTGTCAGAAATGTGAACTAACTCAACTGGAGGCATTTTTGTAAATTTATTGATGCAATAAGCATTGATTTTACAATTAGTACTTAAAAGCTCAGTTCTCCTTGCACATTTTACAGGTTTGAGGGATGGAAAAAGAATTATTTCTTCCTTCTTCATTCCCATCATACAATAGCCAGTGGCCTGTGTTCATATGGGTAAAGAGAGTGAAGAACTTAACTGTGCCAAAGGTTCCAAGACCACTCTAGTACTACTAGAATTTAACTACAAATCTAATCTTGAAATTCACTGCTCCTTTGTGAAGGGAGCCATCTTTTCCCCTTGGAATACCACAGAATTTAACCAGCAAAAATTAAATGGGATTTAGACCAGGATACAAAACAAGTACCTTGTTACTGCTCCTGAGAAGATGCGCTCTATCATCCTATTTGAAATTGCTGTGAAGAAAAGTTTGAAACAGTGTCAACTCTATGCAAGTTATTTTTGCATGCATCCTGTTGTTGAAGAGTTTACTGGAACTCTCCTCTTATATACACAGATCAGTGAGAACAATCAGGGGTAGTGCTCATTAATCCCTTTAAATCCTTTTAGAGAGGATCACTTAACACAAAGCCTCCAAAGAAAAACTACAACCACCCAGCTTTGAATTCAAACTTAATGCAGAAATAGTAATCAAATTGCAATACAAGTAACAAAATTGGCTGATTAATAAAACTGCATTTCCCAGTTTTTTGACAAGTAAATAATGTTTTCCAGTGGCAGTAAGTTTTATGTGACCTTGGCAAAGAGCCAAACCAGAATTGGCACAATCACACATAATAAACATACCTTCCTGATTCTGACGGGGATCTATTTTTGACATGGTTTTGACCCATGCTTCTATTTTGAAACCATTTCAGGGATTTTAGAGACATGTCTGAACTAAGCACTACCTTTGTAAAGGATAGTCAATTTATCCTTAAGAATTTGCAAAATTAAATTGCAGGTGGCAGTGTATTAGTTGTGCTTTCTTTCAAAAATGTACTAACTTAATAGAGCAGCCACTCAAATGAAAGCAGTTTTCCTTTCTCACTGTCCTAAAGCATTGTCAAAATTTAGTAGGCAAATTTTCAGAAGCAATCAGAATTGTGTTTATCCTTTTTAACGTGGGATAATACTCCATAATCACTTTGTGCTTAGGTAAGCTTTCCAGTCCTGAAAGGAACACTATGAAGATGGACACAAGGCATCTAAAAAGAGCCCCAACAGTTCCATACAAGCTACAAGAATATTTAAAATAGGAACAAGCATGCAAGACTACAGAATCACAGTCATTGCATATTATACATGCAGCAAACGTAAACCTGCTAACTAGTGCTTAACAGTATTAAAGCAAAACACACTGCAGCTGAGTTAGCAAAACTCCAAATAAGCCAAGTACCTGAAGGTATGTTTGCCTTTTCTACTCTTTCCATATCTTGCCATAAAAGTAATGCTACTTGAATATCAGTAAAATGGATTTTGTCCAAGATAACGACCCAAAATTTCCAAATAAAACCATTTATAATACACCAACACGTAAGTGATATTTGCCCTATTTCTTTCTCAAGATCAGAATTCAAATTCAGAATTTTCCTCAAATGTGGTATTTGTAGATGGAAAGTAGCATCACAGATGACTTGTCCTGCTTTAGTTCACTGAGTCAGCAGGACCAGCTACACCAACAGACTCATGAAACTGTCCCTGGTATTAAACCACTTCCTCAGCTCAAAGTTTACAGGTCATTTAATACATGTAAACAAAGGTGCTTCATTTGTCATACCATAATCATTATGTCGAGCTAAATCCTTCCGATCAATATAGAGGTCATGGTCTGTGTCCAGCTCCCAAAATTTGCAATAGATAACATAAAAATGTTCATATGAGAAGTACTCTGTCAGCTGGTTAATATCAGCTTCCTCTTCCAATAATGCCACATTCTATTATCAGAAGGACAAACAGAACATATTAAAGAGTTTGTAAGACATTTATTTTTTGAATAATCTGAGTTCTCATCGCTAAGTTAATATCTAATGCTATTTCAGTGGAACAATTTTTGTTTTCAGGGACAATGCAGATCATACAGTGTGACAGCAAAACTCAACACATGGCAGAAAATGAATGCATTCACAAAAGAAAGAGCAGATCAGATCAACCTCTGCTACACACATTTACATGTATACAGCTCCAGATAGAAAAAGTTACATTTAAACATATTCTAATGTATGAGAATTAATGCAATTGGGTCTTCATTACTTTTTGGAAAAGGAAGAAATGCTATTTATGTTACTCCCTTAAGCCTTTAGTTAATGCAGTTTTAAAACTTCCAGAAATATCTGTGTTGCAAAATTTTAGATATTACAAACCTGCAAAAAGTTGCTTTTCCTGAGCTCATTACAAGTTATTTTCCCAGACCAGGACCTATTTACTGTATAAAATATTCTCTGTATGACCTGCAAGAAAGAGAAAATTGAAAGAAACTTTAGCTATGGTAATTAAATACCCATCCAAATATTTCTCAAAGATGTTTTAGTGCAGCTACATTAGAGAGCTCCATGTTTTCCCTATTTCTATTGTTCTCATTAGTTAGAACTTCTCTTGTGTCATATTATCCACTATTCAAACAATTGCTAAATCTATATCTAAACTCCTCTAGATAAGTTTTATTTCAATGCTGCAGTACCCATATCTCACTCAGTAATGTTGCAGAATATTTATGTGTTATCCAAAATATGTATATTGGTGATTTCACTACCTCAAGTCTTCCAGATCTACAGGATATAATCAAATAAACCTATTAATGTATCTTATTACTTCATATTTAAAGACCTGCATTTGCTGTGAGACTGTTTTACTTCAAAACTGAATTTACAGAAATAGAATTGGGACTGCTTAAGGATCAGAGTACAGCAGATGTTGCTACTTTTGAAGTCTACAAACACAACAAATCTATATCTGACAGAAATATTTCCTGCAGGTGCAAAGAGAATGTTTTTCCCCATTTAACTTCATTCTATTTGGAAGTTCCTTGAAAAAAAAACCCTATTAATAGCATTAAAAGTACATTAATATTTTCCAAGTGAAGAACAACAACAAAAAAAAATCTATGCAAGAAAGACAACTAGTTCTTGTGCCATGACTGATACTGGAACCAGAAACAAACACATCCATATGAGTACTCTACACATTTTTAAAAATTAATTTTACGTGTACTTCAACCCAATGATCTTAAAGGTCTTTTCCAAACTAATGGTTCTATGGCTACTTTGGGCAACTCATGCATTTGCTATAATTTTCTTAGATTTAGTTTACAAACTAAAGACTTGAAATAAGACTTTAAAATATACTTTTTCTGCTACTTAACTGAATTCAGTATTCACCTCAATTCGTTTGACTTAAGACAACCAGGTGTACGTTTCACGTCAGTCATTCACCACTAAACAAAACAAAAAACAACCCAAAACCCAAAAAAAACCCCAAGCATATTATGAACTATAACTGCTCAACTGGTGATTGATTGTACCTGCTAATTGGCAAGACTCAGTAATGCATGTGTAGTGTTTCATTTGCAAGAGAGCAGGTACTAACTAAAATCCCCTCTCCTTAGGAATCCCTTTCCTGCAATTGATATGTCCTCCCAACTACAAGCTAAGCTCTTTATCACTTCAGACTTCAATTGTAGTAAATCAATAGTTTAAACTAACCAATCATTTTAAAATTACAAATAGAAGAATAATGTACTGATGAAGTTTTGAAAGAAAACTTAAACTGCAGAGCAGCAAGCTCCTCAGTTCTTACTTTGAACAAGAACAGCTGGTTCAATAACTCCAGACAGAAGAATAGATTATCCTGCTTCTGAAACTTAATTAACTTAATTATAATTGTGAATTTAGGGAAGGCCCATTTTTTGGCTTATACTACAAAGCAATTTTTTCTAAAAAGGTTTTTGCCTTAGCTTTGCAACTTAATCCATCTGCATGTCATTATCTCATCTGTTATACATTTAACTGGTCTAAAAATAAAACCAAAATTGAATGTTTGGTAAAGACAACTGGGAACAAACTTAAACTGTTTTCTAAAGTAAACTGATGCAGAGTATAAGCAAATTGTCTAGAATTGCCTTTACTATTCTGCAGAGTGCTTTGTCAGAAGGGAGAAGAAATGCTGCAATACAGAGACTACAATTTCAAGAACTCATAGTTCAGATATGCACCTAACATCCTGGAAAAATAAATGTAGTATCTCATTTGTCACAGCAAACATTTTTAACTTATTTCAGCTCTATCTTGGCCATATATAACTAGGCTGACCAACAAACCTATAACATATCTTAGGAGACAGACCAGATTGCTTTCATGGCTTACACAACACGTGCTAAGGAGATGTATGCAATGTGTATGCATACACACATACACATATGTGGGTATATACAAAAAAACAGCAGAAGAATGGCTCATTTGGTTTGCAGCTGGATGTATCCTTTAGATGAAGCTTCATGTAGCAAGGTTAAACTAACTGAATACAGGTATGAAATATTTCATCATAGGTAAAATCATCTATTATTATCATTAATAACTTGCAGGACAGAATTTTGGAAGATTGTAACAAACTCAGTTGCCCAAAGCATGGTGCAAATAATGTCAAGGTTGTGGGTTTGACCCCTGTATGGATCATTCACTTAAGAGTTAGACTTGATTCCTACAGGTCCCTTCCAACTCAAAATATTCTGTGATTCTGTGAACAGTTGCACCATCCTAAAATATGATGAGAAAAAGGCAGAGAGCTCCTGCCATTTCTTAATCTGCAGAATGGCATTCCAAATATTATTGATACTTTCATACTAGTTTACTTTTTGATTTAACACCAATTTTTTGATTAAACACCAATTTCTGTTGAAGGCTACACTAAATGTTATTAATAAAATATTTCCAGTACTAATTTATTCAATATTGCTAGACTCAGACCTACTCCAATAAACTCTTCCTCCAAAGAAAAGGAACTGGACATGGCAGGACCTTTTCTTTCCTACTCTTTTTCAGGTCATGCAGCAAGCTTTCACAATTTTAACCAGAGCAGGCTGTGACACAGCCAAGAATCCACAAAGAAACAAAACAACTCACAGGCAGAACAATTCCTTCAATCACACAACTGACAGGAGAAAGTTCTGTGAGCTCAGGTAATCATTATAACAAGAAGCAAAACCTAATGCAGCAGGACATACTTGATAGGCCAGCAAGTCTCTGTAAGGAGGATGTAATGAACAAAACTCAAACGCTCTCAAAAAAAAACCTTCCACAATTTTAACCTGGGTAAAAGTGTAAGATGGATATATGATGATCAACACTGCATGTTTTTTTTTTTGTTGGAGAATATTCATTAAGCTAGTTTTCACATGCACAAAGAAAGTGAACTGAATGTCATTTTGAAGAATTTTAATCTTTTGAGACTTCAGTGGAATCGACTGTGTAGTCCTCAACTGAGAAAATTTAATGTCACCGATTTCTCCCTTGGGTACAGAACAAATACTTCAGTCACATAACCCTGGGAAGACAGGAATGGAACTTTTCATGTATAAAAACCTTCCTTGGAAGAAAAGTCCCCAGAGAGACAAGTGGCAAGCAGCTTCAATATTATCATTATTTCACTTAATACTGAACATAATCATATTAATATAGATGTTTCATTCAAGACTTCATTTAATTAATCCCAGACTAAGGTCAGGATTCTAATGAATGCAGACTACAGCCACAATCAAGAGTTTAAGATAACAGCCTGCTCTTCATTTAATGCTCATTAACTTATCCAACACTATTACAATTCACTGCTTCTCTTACTAGTATTAAAATCAGCAATTTCTTAAAAATGTTGAGAACTATCAGGCCTAAGAAAGACTCCTTTTCCACAAAATTTCTAGTTACATAGAAATAGAAGAAGACTTACAGCCTGCTCTAACTCTACTCTTCCCATGGGATAAAGATGCTTAGAGACATTTGACTAATCTTGATTTCCTTAGTTAACTAAAAAATAGCTTTTCCAGATACAAATCACTTACTGTTGTAATATACCGAGAATGGAACTCAGATGCTTCTTTTAAAAATAAAAGGCCGGGATGACTATTCACCACATCCTACAAAAAACAATATCACAAGGAGTATTCATTAGTGTCCATTCAAGACAATTAGCAAAGAATAACACACCTGCTATTCCTTAACCAAAACAGTTTAAACAAACTACCACAATCACTACTGATAACTATGTTTTTCACTTTCAGACAAATCATATCACAAACCTTTTAAAAATAAAATTATCTTTTAAATAAATTGGATAAACAAAAGCTTTCCTGTATTTTAGAAATATTTTTAATAGGATTTTTTCCTATATTTTAGATAGGCTGAGGATTTTGAACACTGTTGACTGTCCTAGCTTGTAATTCTGTGGCTATGATTCAGTGAAGTCAATTCAGGTTTTATTCAGTCATTTCTACAGGTGGTGTTTGCTGCTCTTCCAACAAAGATTTACTAGGATTTGAATTCATATCCCACTTCTCCTTTGCCCTCCAAAGGGCTACCTGACTTAAATAACTTTAACTGACTTATGAAACATAAAAGTTCCAATACATATGTTATTCCTACAACTGATTTGAAATCTTACCAGGGTGCTTAAAAAACACCTCACCTTATACAAAATTATTAACTGTAAAACAAGTCACTAGCATCTTAGTGGACCATGCAAAGTCAGTTGCACTAAATATTATCAATAAACTTTAATGATGACCATGAAAAAGTATGTTTAGTTCAAGCAGCTCAGGGCTTTGCCAGCTCATCATTTTGTTGTGTTCCTAGAAATAGTTTCAACTGCAACTTACTTGTAAAAAAGGAATGAAGTCTTCTTGCACCAAGTAATTACATCCAGGGTTCATCAGAAGATGAACAAACTTCGCAGCATCATCATAGCAGGTCTGAAGTACTCTGAAATGGAAATATTTCTATTTAGTATTCTACACAGAAAATTGCTCATGCTACCTCATGCAGGCATCCTAGAGCAAGGCCTATGAAACAATATTTATTAAAAAGGTCATTACAAATGTCAAACCATGCTCCAAGCAAACTTATCAAAGCAGAAGCATCTCTTAAATTGATGTTAAAGGAGGTGGGTACACCATGTAATTGATTACATGGAAGGACAATTTAAAGTTAAAATTAGAAAAGAACTAAAAATAAAAAGTACATTGTTCAAAACTGGCATCTACAAGTAAGGGCCGTGGTTTTCACTTCTCATGAACTGTCATTTATCCAAACATTTTAAAATCTATAAACCCTGTAAATGAAGATTTGTTTATATTAAAGTATTATTTACTTACATTTTCCAATGTACAAGCTTGCTGACAATAGTTGATTATGGGCAAATGTTTTATTCCCCTTTACAAGATAAGATCACATTCCGAGCTTAAAAATATCACATTTCAATGAAAAAAAATGCAGTACTTCTAAAAAAGTAATCTACTTACTTCCGCCACATTGCAACAAATTTATGAACTGACACGTATCCTGTTCGTTCACCTCCAGCACAATAAAACAAAGGACCTTTCCAGTACAGTGGGCATTCACAAGCCTACAATTAAAGTATACATCAAGTCAGTTTACTGATTGCTTATCTGAGGGCTACTCTTCTATTTATGGATCCTTCAAAAATTACAAGTGTTAAGAAGAAAGCATTAGGGAAGAGATTTTTTGAAAACCAGTTTCTGAAACCAGCTTCACCTTCTGAAATAATCTATTTAAAGCAACGTTAGGCTGAAATCCAAAAGTGGAGAGCAAAACACAGGGCAACTTGTAGCATCCCTAACAGACTAACACAGTGAGTCACGTGGCTATCTGTCCATGCTCCAAGCAGCTGAACAGAGTCCATCTTAAGCTCTGCTCAACAGCTGGATATCTTTAAGCTAAGCTCAAGCACACTTACAAACCCTCTGAACTGGAGCAAATTAACATTTGTCTGACTCAGAAGATGGCTCCACTCATCTGCATCCTTTGCACGTGCATGGCACATCCTGTATCCAATTTTAAGTAGCAGGCCAGCCTGCCCTGAGCAGCAGGATCTTGCTTTAGGATACTCAACAGCTACACATTCCCAACTCCAGTGTGAGCACATGCACCTAGAGCCCAAGTGTCTGCAGCTGTAACAGCCAAGAGCCCAGTCTACCCAAAACTGACTCCAGCTGGGAGTAGTCAGACATGCTGGCATCCCCACGGATCTCCAAAACCACTGTGAATACTGCAAGATGTGTAAGGTCACTGCAGCAAAAGCACAATTACTTCTCATGCAATAGCTTAACTAGTACTTCAAACAAAATAAAAGTGGTTGTGATGAATACTGTCCTCAGACAGTATTCTTCAGGAAGGCGTCTTTCATCACTGAATAACAGGTGACCCTTTCAGCTTCCTTGCTGAGAGAGAAGGGTCTCTTCCCTAGCTCCTTACTTCTATGTACTTCTGTGTTGGAAGGACCTGTGGAAGACAGGGATCCTATCATTCAGCTTAGCAGTAAAAAAGTTTTGCTGAGGCAAACTCCCAGTCCTGCTCTTGTGAGCAGTCACAGTTTCTATTTTCTAGACCTGGACAAAGTGACAGGAACACAGATGAGGACCTGAAACTCATTAGCAAGATCATGACTTGCAGTGAGATTTCAAGCATTAATTCAACATAACAAAATGGAAATTTAAGTCCATTTTAACTAGCTTATTGTCTTTAAATTTACAGAGAAGTTTAAAAAATATTTGCTGCTTTCTAAGCTAAGTATTTTGTCACTCTGCCATAACTCTAAAGTAGCTCTTCAGGAATAACTTGAGATCTATAATCTCAAGTTACCAAACCATTCTGTCTTTACCAGTGTCTTTGCAATGGAGGTTTAGCAAAATGAGAAAAAAAACCCAACCTGTGTGACTATCTGAAAACAAAACATATATTAGGAGTGCTTTTGCCTTAACTCTCTTGGTCAATATGGAATGGAGAACAACATAAAATGTTGCTCTTTAGTATTTGGTTGTTTGTGCAGCAAAAAAAGTAGTTCAAGTTTTGCTTCAATGTTTTGTTTCTTTTTATAAGGTCATTTGATAGACAGCTAATGCAGAAAATTCCACATAACTATTATCAACAATGTAAAATATCATTAAATACTAATGTATGGGAGATGGAAACACACAATACAAGAGAACCAAGCACACAGAACTCATCTTTCCTTTCCATAGGAGTACAGTACAAAAAGAAGATGGCCAGCAAGTTCTCACCTTTGCAACCTTACCCATGTCTTCTAACGTTGCCCTCTCATTTGGAAATTCAGAAAATGTTTTCTCAATTTTGGCAATCACAGCATCTATATTTACTTTTTCCTTAGGACATCCTCGAGGAAAGTAAAAAGTTGGAATGTTTTGACTATGTGGTGGTGGCAAAGTTTCTTCCTTCTTTGTTTGAACCTAAATAGATAAATATACATTTGACAGTCAAGTACCATGAAATCACATAGTCCTCCACAGATGACTTAAATCTCTTGGTATTCTATGTTTCCACACACCTTCAAAAAGATTTCATATTATAAATTGAATAAACTATTACAGAATAAGAGCACATCAGAAAAATTGATGAGTATTTCCAAAAATGGTCATTTAGAAAACCTTCTAGGATGTTAAATATTTAATAAAAACAACTTCAATCTTCAACACATACCAAGTTTCAAGACTGAAAAACATTGGACAGCTTCTTGGGGACATCTGAAATTACTCAGGTTCTACTATCTGTTTCAGAAAAAAAACCTTTCAACCTCCATCTTAACAGATATTATGAAAGACTTTGCTTTTGAAATACTTCTAGTTTTACAGATTCAAGGTTTTGAAATAAATATAATAACTTTGCTACAAGCCACCAACCTATTTAATAAAGTTATGATGAAGATTTTGGGTTTTTCACCCTAAAAAATTATAGATTTTATAAAGTTAGTAAACAATGCCTGCAGAGGGGTTTTTTGGGGGGTAAAGTATATTCAATGAGAGTTTAGAAAGTGGTTTCTCAAGAACTGTGATACACCACATCACTAAAAAAATCCCCCAGATGACCTGTAACAAGAGAAATTTATTTAAAAGCTTTTAAGTTCAGTAAAGAAGAATTTACCTAGTAGTCAGTTTCCAAAAGAATGTCAAAGAGGGCGTAGAAGCAAAGATAAAGGTAAAGTAACAACAGAGTTAGGAAACAACTCAAACTTAGCAATTAAACCAAATTAAAGTCCTTATTCCCAATACTACTATTCAAATGTAAAAACATTGCTATTGGGTGACTTGTCCTAATAATGAAGGTGTTCTGCATCTAATCTCTCATTTTCAACCATAACTGGCGGAAAATAAACTCAAAATCTCTCCAGAAACCCTAACCCTTGTTTTTATTCTTTATCATCTTTGCCAAAGTGCCTGCAAAGTTACCCAGCTCTCCTACACAATTTAAGTCCTTCTTTATGTGAGTGGGAGAACTAGGTGCTTATGGACAACAGATTTTAATTTCCAGAGTTCCAGCCCCGGAGCTTTCACTAGTATGCTACATATGCAAAAAAAAAACAAAAAAAAAAACCAAACCAAACCAAACCAAACCAAAAAAAAAAAAAAACAAAAAAACCCCAACCAAAAACCAACCCCACAAAAAACCCCCAAAAAACTCTGAACTAACCTTTCCTTCCCCTTCTCTGCATTTGAGCAAGAATTCCTGTCCACAGCTGCAGAATTACCTTAACTATGTTACAAGTTTTATTTCATAGAGGAAAATGTTACCTTGAATCTGTGACATCAGGAGTCAATGTCTGTCACTTTCTATGAATCTTGTTAAGTAACAACTTTTGATATCTTATCATTGGTTCAGGAGTCCAGTTGATGAGGCAGCTTAAAATAAGAGTGTTACGGGGTATCAAAAATTCCTTCCAACTTCAGACTTCCAAAATTTTAGGAAGTCTAAAGACAGCAATGTTTTATTCTCTAGGTAAAATCACCACCAGCACTATAAATAATGTCTGTAATGGGTGAACACCTTGTTTCATTCTACAAGCCCAGCTCTACCCATCAGCACTTCCCAAGAGCCCTTGCAGTTACCCTATTTCCCCATTTCCAAGAACTGCCTGGACTGACATAAAATTAGCTCAGTTGATCAGAGCATGGTGCTAATAACACCAAGGTCATGAGCTCAATCCCTGTACAGGTTGTTCATTGAAGAGTTGGATTTGATGATCCTTGTGGGTCCCTTCCAGTATTCCTCAGAATATTCTGTGATTCTGTGACAACCACTCCCATGTGAGCTGCTCAAATGGCCACAGAGCAGCAGGTGGCCCAGCTCTTCAGAGGTGCCCGATGAGGAATGCCTCATCCAAGAAAAGGGAAAGTGCAAATCACAGACTACTAACATTCCCTGAATGTTGTTGGTATCATGAGGTACATCAGCATTTTGAGGAAGCTTAGTACAGAGAGGCAAGGCATTTTTAAAATCCACAGCTAGGGATATTTAGAGCCTCAGATGGAAAATTTCTTTTAAAAAGAAAGGTAGAAACAGAGGGAAGACTACACTAGAAAAGATCTCAGGAGAAAAAGAAAAGCTATAATCAGAACCATTTGATCATTGGATAGTATATTTTTTCAGAAACCACTAATTTAGATACCTCACTTACACAATAAATGATTTCTATTGGTCCAGGTTAAAAGCTGTTCTTAAATACATGTGGAAATCTCAATTCAGGATTTGTTATAAGACCTATCCAAGCACAAGTTACTTAAAAGAATTATAAGGTAAAGGCTTTTTATTTATTTTTCATCTTATAGTCTGGAACATGTTCAAAACAGACTAAGATTATAAGGAAGAAGTTCAGCAACCAATTCAGAACTTAAGACAAACATAAAGTTGAAGAAAAATGATTTTTTCTAAGATGAAAATGTTATATTGAAACATTTGAATTCAGCATGCTTACTGTAAAAATATATATCATATTTAATCTATAAGACGGAATATTAATTCTAAGACCAAATACAGACTACAAATCTGTCATAGCAAGACAAATTAACTCTCCCTATACTGAAAGATGTCTATTTTCACATGCTGGTTTCTCCAAGTTGGCAAAAGAAGAAACTATAAAAAGGCTTCATTTGTATTAGCAAGTGTATGATCACTTCACAGTAATTTCTGCTAGAATTATTTGGTGCCTACATATAGGCATCTAGTGAGAATACCATCTAGGGCACGAAACAAAATGCCCTTGAACATTCCTTGTGGCATCCAGCACAGCTCTCACTCTGCATCTGCCACGTGGATGTTCTGAGCATACTAATGCTTCTTAAATGCCACCAGCAACTTGGAATGGGACAATTGAATTGTGCTGTTAATGTCAGTCAACACAGGAATAGGAACTGTACCAAAGAGAGAAGCACATTGTCCAAAACCATTAGCTCCAACTAATGCACCATTGATATTACATCTCCTCCCTCTTCTCACCTTCCCAAGAAGGGCCAAAGATTCTTCTCTCAGTCTGAATTCCAATAAACAAAAGGCTCCTTACTCTGCTGTATATGCTCCAATGAAGGAATGTGTGATACTAAAAGGGCTCTAAAAATTTCACTATTTTCTGTTCAGGTGCTAGTTACTTCTGTAGAGGCACATATTGCATAGCTGATGAAGGAGTCAGTTCTGTTATTTCAGGAAAATAAAAATGCACTAATTGTGTAAGATTAGGCTGGTCTAAAATTAATTATAATTTTAACTGGGGAATTCCTTCATTAACAAGAATTGCCCGAAGTCTGCTAACATTCAATCTTTGACTGGAAAATCTGCAGGAACAGTTCATTAATCTTTTTACACAACTACTTCATTTCAGTGGTCAATTTAACATTTAGAAAATGATCTACATTTTCCTGTTGTTTTAAGTTAAAACCTTTAAAACTTATACCAGTAAGCTAAACTCAAAAAAGAGACTTGTTTGGTCAGTTAAAATTTTCCCTGCAACGTGCTGAGAAAGAGTACCAACAACAGGATGCTTGGAAATAAGGAAAACAGCTACATAAGCCTGTAAATAACTCAAACAGATGTGTGTTGAAGTGCCAGGACTGAAGAGAGCATTAAACTTTGCAATATGTACATATGAATTCCAGGATCTGTAAGTGTATTGCAAAGTTGCCACTACAGTTTAGGTTTTATATAACAGATGGGAAATGAGGATTCCTTGAAAACATCTTGTTTGCAGTAATGTAAACAAACTTCTGTAAGATTTTTCTACAGGAGAATTCAAGAAAAGCTTTAATACACAACCAGTTTTCATTCTTGAGGTACAGAATTGTAAAGACTGTCCACAGCTACCCAACATTTACTTGCCTTGATTTTTACAATGGAGGAAATGGAAGTTTTTATCCCATTGAGATCACTGTTCAAAGGTCAAAAATTCTAATATTAATTTTGCAACTTTCCAGATCCTTTTCCAACCATTCTTTCAGTAGTTATTTATATTAATGGCATAAAATCAGTACTATAATTACAATACACCGATACACTAGGATATACCAGAGAACATGGAAACACCATATTCCAAAGAGAGAAATTCTTCAAGCTAGACAGTCTTCTTACATCTACCACCTGATGAGTGGCATTCAGCAGTTAACTTTGTTATAAGCAAAAAATAGACAGTGGGAATTTTAAAAGGGTGCACTTTTCCTTCTCTCTTAACTGTAAGAGCTGATGCCATGATACAATCATTCAACTATAGGAATATATACTGCTGAAATAACAAGGAAGGGACGCCTTGATCCCAGATATTCTAATAATGTATGCTCAGTAATGTCTAGCTCTAACATTTGCATGCAGAAACTGCCAAAGCAGAAACACTGAGCCCCATGAAAGGGTTGAATATGTGGATTTAAATACAAGTGAGTAAAACCTCACTTATAAAGGACTTGCTGGAAAAGGAAGCAAGGTAAATTTATTTGTGAATTTAATACTCTTTTAGAAATTTCTGAGATTAAGTCATGAACTTGGGTTGGAAGGGACATCTAGTTCCAACCCCTCCTGCTGTGGGCAGGGGTGCCACCCACTAGATGAGATTGCTCAGGGCCCCATTCAACCTGGTCTTAAACACTTCCAGGGATGGGGGATCCACAACTTCTTTGGGTTGCCTGTACCAGGGCCTCACCACTCTCATAGTAAAGAATTTTTCCTCTCTTTTTAGTTTAAAGCCATTCCCCCTTGTCCTATCACTATCTGGATTGAACTGATTGGTATTTACATTGTTTTGACAGGACTACAGGATAAGATAACTTCATTCAGAAATGTTGATTACACCAACATTTTTTCTTCCTGTTTCTTTGAAAAAAGCCCAACCCTAAACATTTAAAAATATTTACAGAGTTTGCAGTCAGCTCTTGCTGTAGTATTTGACAGGAATTTCCATGATAATGGCCATACTAGA